AATCTTTCTGTTATCATTACTGTGACTTGGTTTGAGCTGCAAAATCCTGGTTGTGCTGAAGTTGGGAGTTTTGCCATTGACTTAGGTAGGGCAAAAACATCCATACCCACTCTGGCTGCTGTTCCTACAGGTGATGTGCTAATACAGGTATCTTGCTAACATTTTGGACAATGCTATTTTGTCAAAAGAAGCAAATATTGGCTAGTGCTTTATTCGATAGAATGATGTTTGTTCTTCCAATTAAAACCTTCTGTGCTACTTAGATAGTCTGAATTGAATCCATTAATACAGTATCCCACCAGAAATGAGCTGCACTTCCAGAGGTCTTTTCTTGGTAGTTCTTATTCCAGTTAGACAATTTCCAGGCCAAAACTGTTGAGGTGGGGTAAAGATTGTTTGTATGTAGCAAGAGCACAAACATTTAAAACAAAATAAATTAGGGAAGTGTTGGTGTTATCCAAAAGCCAAACACAGCAGATCCATGGAATCAGTATTGTGCTGTTTAGAAGAAAATCAGAAATAAAAATGGAAGCTTTGCATGCTCAAGAGATTTGACTCTCCCGTGTAGTAGTGTCTGTTTATAGTTGAAAGAATGTAGTATGTTACTAGTGGTTATGTATAATATATATACTATTACCAGCCCTTCTGTGACCAAATCCATGTTGTCTGGATGCCTTAATGAAGCCTGTTGTGCTGAAATTTCTGGTGTCCTTTATCTACTGACTAGCAAATTCTGACACACACCCCCAAAGGAGCACTGACTCTTTTTTGGCTGTGGTGACGTTCTCAATTGTAACCTCATCTACATGACACTAATGTCACATGCTAAAGACAGTAGCTTTTTTTTGTGCCAAGCATTTTATAAATAGAATGAACAATCATTAGTGCAAAGAACCTTGTGTAAGCAAGCAGTTAGGTGTAGGGTACAGTAAGGCCATGTTTCCCACATACTGGAAGATACCTCTAGTGAAGAAATCCAGAGCAAAGAGACAGCATGTAAAATGCTCAGGGGAGGTGTAAGAAAGCTGGATAGAATCTGGCTGCACCAATACAGCCCTGTGTTCCTTTTAATTGGGAGGAATGGTTAGATACAAGTGCATGAAGAGGTGCAGGGATAAGGCACGTACAACAGAGTGATCCATAGGGTCTTGATGAATGCTCCTTGGCTTTGAAAACCAGACTGGCAGTGGTTTCGTTCCCACTTCCAGTAAATTCTTCAGTATCATGTGATTAATGTAAGCCCTCAAGCCTGAGAATATTTGATATTCAATGCTAAATGAATTGAGTAGAGTGGATGTGTAGAAATAACCTCTAGCTTTTTCACTATCCTCAGTTTGATTGAGTGGATGTGTAGAAATAACCTCTAGCTTTTTCGCTATCCTCAGTGTCAACAAGAAGACTATTTTTTCCCTGAAATACTAGTGAGCAGAAAATTTCCTACCACCTCTCTTGCACAGAGGCAGGGTAGTCTGTGTGTTTGTGGGTGTAATAAAGAAAGGCAGAGTGGATGGTAATAACATAACACTTAATTCCATTTTTTTTCATTTTGAAAAGCGTGTTTCATTTCAGAGACACCCAGACAAGCTTGCGTGTTTGTCTAAGCAGAACCCTTAAATTTGCACATAGGCTTAATTGCTATTCTTTATTAACCAAAACATCTGTGTGTATCTGTTTTACTCATCCAGCTTTTCCAGCAGCTTACTCACTTGCTGGATTCAGCTTGACCAAGGACTTTGGGTATAGGATATGTACTGTTTTGAAGCAAGCATTTGACCCATTGGGCTCTGCACTCTGGGGGTTTAAAGCACGAGTCTGATTTGGTGTCTGTTGAAGTGGCAGAGTAAAGCCACTTGGGGAGAGATGGTTGCTTTCCTCATAGACTTTAAAAAAATGAAAAACAACATCAGAAATGTTTTGATGTAATTTTTTTTTTGTCATTTAATTTGGAGGAGAGGAATGTTACTAATGTGCTCAGTATTCCGGAGGCAATGGGTTGTCTTTCAGCCAGAAAGTGGAAGGGATAAACTGTTCTTCAACAAGAAGACTATTTTTTCCCTGAAATACTAGTGAGCAGAAAATTTCCTACCACCTCTCTTGCACAGAGGCAGGGTAGTCTGTGTGTTTGTGGGTGTAATAAAGAAAGGCAGAGTGGATGGTAATAACATAACACTTAATTCCATTTTTTTTCATTTTGAAAAGCGTGTTTCATTTCAGAGACACCCAGACAAGCTTGTGTGTTTGTCTAAGCAGAACCCTTAAATTTGCACATAGGCTTAATTGCTATTCTTTATTAACCAAAACATCTGTGTGTATCTGTTTTACTCATCCAGCTTTTCCAGCAGCTTACTCACTTTGGAGTAGTAACTGCAGTTAACAAGCTTGAACTGATTTCAGTGGAGTTGGCTCACAAGCCCATCATTAAAATGAGAATCTGGGAATCTTTCTGGGCTGTGGGCTAGAACCACTCCACAAGCACAGAGATGGCCATTCTCTGAGACATCTGCATGGACTAATTCAGGGAGATTTTTATTTTTTTTTCTGATCCAGCAGCTATTCTTGTGTAGATACATTTAAAGCACACATAAAACTGTGCATGGATCCTGTGAATCTTTCTGTTATCATTACTGTGACTTGGTTTGAGCTGCAAAATCCTGGTTGTGCTGAAGTTGGGAGTTTTGCCATTGACTTAGGTAGGGCAAAAACATCCATACCCACTCTGGCTGCTGTTCCTACAGGTGATGTGCTAATACAGGTATCTTGCTAACATTTTGGACAATGCTATTTTGTCAAAAGAAGCAAATATTGGCTAGTGCTTTATTCGATAGAATGATGTTTGTTCTTCCAATTAAAACCTTCTGTGCTACTTAGATAGTCTGAATTGAATCCATTAATACAGTATCCCACCAGAAATGAGCTGCACTTCCAGAGGTCTTTTCTTGGTAGTTCTTATTCCAGTTAGACAATTTCCAGGCCAAAACTGTTGAGGTGGGGTAAAGATTGTTTGTATGTAGCAAGAGCACAAACATTTAAAACAAAATAAATTAGGGAAGTGTTGGTGTTATCCAAAAGCCAAACACAGCAGATCCATGGAATCAGTATTGTGCTGTTTAGAAGAAAATCAGAAATAAAAATGGAAGCTTTGCATGCTCAAGAGATTTGACTCTCCCGTGTAGTAGTGTCTGTTTACAGTTGAAAGAATGTAGTATGTTACTAGTGGTTATGTATAATATATATACTATTACCAGCCCTTCTGTGACCAAATCCATGTTGTCTGGATGCCTTAATGAAGCCTGTTGTGCTGAAATTTCTGGTGTCCTTTATCTACTGACTAGCAAATTCTGACACACACCCCCAAAGGAGCACTGACTCTTTTTTGGCTGTGGTGACGTTCTCAATTGTAACCTCATCTACATGACACTAATGTCACATGCTAAAGACAGTAGCTTTTTTTTGTGCCAAGCATTTTATAAATAGAATGAACAATCATTAGTGCAAAGAACCTTGTGTAAGCAAGCAGTTAGGTGTAGGGTACAGTAAGGCCATGTTTCCCACATACTGGAAGATACCTCTAGTGAAGAAATCCAGAGCAAAGAGACAGCATGTAAAATGCTCAGGGGAGGTGTAAGAAAGCTGGATAGAATCTGGCTGCACCAATACAGCCCTGTGTTCCTTTTAATTGGGAGGAATGGTTAGATACAAGTGCATGAAGAGGTGCAGGGATAAGGCACGTACAACAGAGTGATCCATAGGGTCTTGATGAATGCTCCTTGGCTTTGAAAACCAGACTGGCAGTGGTTTCGTTCCCACTTCCAGTAAATTCTTCAGTATCATGTGATTAATGTAAGCCCTCAAGCCTGAGAATATTTGATATTCAATGCTAAATGAATTGAGTAGAGTGGATGTGTAGAAATAACCTCTAGCTTTTTCGCTATCCTCAGTGTAAGTCTGGTTTCCTCACGTGCTCCTCTCCTTCTGTTTGTTTGGTTGTTTTTTTGTCACAGCTATCCGGAAGGTTTTGGGGTGGATGCAAAACCAAAGTTGTCTTCACATCACCAGATTTTCCTTGCACCCAGTGATGAGGAAAAGGGCAGCCTGCCCTCTCCAGATGATGGTAATCAATGGCAAACATTGCCTTTGCCTCAGAGCAGGACGGTGCCTGCCCTAAACAGTTACCAGAGCACTCTGTGTGAATGCTCTTTAATTGCCTCTTCGGTGTACAGACACTGCAGGCACAGCACAGAGAAAGGAATGTTGTGCTAAAAATGACCTTTTTATTCAAAATTCACACCCCACATCCTCAGGAGTAATGGATATCAGTTTGGAGATCACTTCCCACGTTGTGGCCAGGATCAATGCCTGGCTACATAATGTTTGTAGCTCTAGTTCTTTTATCATGGCCTGTACAGAGTTTGTGTCTGTTTTGTACACCAGAAGAAACACTTTGATCTTTTAAGAATAATGCTGGTAAAAATTTTGGGCAGGGTTCAGTGTGGGGGCTGTCAGCTGAACCCTACAGCAGAGTGATCCTCCCTTCTCCTCCTCCCTTCTCCTCCAACCAAATAAATCTGATTTGCAGGGAAATGCAGCAAAACAGCACAGCACTTCCTTGTACAGCATCCTATTGCTGTGTCGAATTGTTTCAGAACTTGATTACCTTCTCCTCACCTTCTCTAATGATGTTTGGCAACAGGATGCTTTAGCACTCTATGTATAAGATCATCAAAATTCTGATTAAATGGTTTTCCAAGGAAGAAACTGATTTGAATCATCTGTCACTCCCACTTGTTTCTTCCAGGGAGCTGAAATATAGCAAAAGAAATGTCCTGCTGTTTTCTCTAGTGGAACTTATGGAGACAGTAGATAAAATCAAGCACCTCCACTGACTCCAGCAGTTTCTCTGGACCAGTGCTGTTCCAGATGTGATGTTTTTGATTTATCTACTGCTTGACTTGTTACACAAGAAAAATGTATCTTCATTTATAGTTTCTTTTGTTTCCTAGTCCGTCAGGAGATTCTGAGAACAGTAGAAATCATCTGGAAGCAGCTCATTTCTCAGAGGCGACAGGCTCTGGAGGACACTTACAAGATGGATCTTTCTGTAAAAGGAAATGACAAAGAAAGGGACATGAAGATAACAGAGATCACTCCTTTATGGGAAGAAATTATGACAAAAGCTTGGCAACACTTGATAGGTCTGTGGTTTTTTTTATGGAACACACATTGTAGCGAGCAAAGATACTGCAGTAAATGTAGTGCTTAATGGAAAGCCTGTGGTTCGTGGTTATACCCTTCCTCTCACATCACCTGCTGGATAAAGCAGATTCTCAGTTTCTCTCAGCCAGGACTGTGATTGCTTTCTGTGTTGTGTCCCATCCCTTCTGAAATCATAGAATCATAAAATGGTTTGGGTTGGAAGGGACCTTAAATTTTATCTAGTTCCAACCTCCCCTGCCATGGTCTGGTGATGTTTGGCTCATGCTGAAATCTCCTTAGACAATTATATCCCATTGGAGAATTTAAAAGTGAGGATGTTCGGGTGAGTAATAGCATCCCAGTGTGTGTAGTCCTTCAAGGATTCAAAGTTCATGTCTGTATAATGATACTGGTCTATAGCAGACCTCTTTGTGGCTTTCAAATACTTGAAAAGTATATGTTAACTCAGTGCTCTTATAAATAGCTGGCCAGCTCAGCTGGAGGGAGGCACTGCCATGTTTTTGTGTCTTGTGTAATGTGGATACAAACCTTCTACCTTGCCACAGGCTCAACTTTGAGCCTTACAAACCTTAGTTTTTTTCTGTTCTGGCCCACAGCATCCGAAAAGAAGATTCTCCACAATAAATCTGCCGGGCCCAGTCTGTCACAGAGCAAGCACAATTCCTGGAGTGAAAGCCTCTCTTCAGCTATTAGGTTAATGCCTGGCCGAAACACAAAGGAAGCAACGTACAAATCTGAGGTAACTTCTGCTTTTTGTCTTTTCTGTCTCTGTCACCAGCCTTTAATATGGCTCTGGAGAGTTTACCTGGACTTGAGAAGCTTCTGAGTGTCTCTTGACATGTTCCATTTTTAAACTAGACACAGTTAAGGTTCTTTTTCTACACGGCTAGAAATAATCACTAAGATATAGTCGTTGTTCTGACGAACTTCAGTTGGCAACCTTAATATATAATGTACTAATGCATACTTTTTGCATGAGGCCTAATTATTGCACTTGAAAGGAAAAACCCAAGCAACCCCTGTGTGCTTGTGCTCACAGGGCTCTGGTTGGCCTGGAGCAGGGTGGGGAGACACTGGCTTTGCTGCTGCAGATACTCAATAAGTACAAAGGATTGGGTATTAACCATAAGGCTGTCCTGTCATTTTCTACTCCATATGGAGTGTTGAAGGTCAATATTTTAGTTTAGCCTTGAGACATAAGGAGACAAGTGTTTATATAAACCAGGGCTGGCTCTGGAGGGTGTGCAACGTTCCCACTGCCATCAATGCAGCTGGACTGTCTTTTCCACGTGCAAGCTCCTCCTTTGCTGAGAGAAAGGGCCTTTTCCATGTTTTTCCTGGGCATTTGCCAAGAATACAAATAAAAAGCACCCATTAGATGTTTGTTAGGGCCGGAGTAACCAGCTCTAGGATAAGGCAGCAGTGCATTGACAGAATGTCCAGAGCTGTGGCCTGAGCTTGTGTTTTGAAGAGCTGAACGTAATTAAGGTCTTTTTCTCCTGCTGAGGAGACAGCGAGTCGGTTACAGCATCAGTTTAAGGAGCCTTCACCCCCTAGCTCAGCCTGCAGCAGGTTGCATCTTTATCCCCAGTGGTTGACTTCCAGGTATGTTGCTCAGGAAGGCTGTGATACACCAGTAACGTGTCTGACAGGACCTTACTGAGCTGCAGGTTGTTTCTCAGCGTGCCACAGCATCCTTCTAGTTCCTTAAAATCCCTTTGCTGCTTACAGAGTGAGCAAGTTCTTCCCAGGTACGTATGTAGACTGTGATGTCATACTACAAGAACATCGACTATTTGCCCTGGGGTCTGTTTAATTATTTTTTAAAATTAATTTTGATTATTACAGCTGATTACACCTCAGTGAGCAATGTAATTGATATTTGTAAATGTATCCCAAGGAACATTTTGTACAACATGCTTTTTGCTGTTGAAGGTTAAAGACTCCGTTATTGGTTTTTCCCTAAATATGCCCACATCATTAGTTCCTCCAGTGAAAAGGTTGCCATCTGGAAAAGGCAGCACGGAGACATTATTCAGGCACAAGTGCATGAAATTGGTGTTTCTGCATCTTCTGTCTCTCTTCTGCAAGGAAGCGGCTTGTAATTAAAGGAGCTGGGTTTGGAGGAAACATTACTCATTTGGTGTTATTCCTTATCATGTCAAGGACTGACAGCTCCACAGCTCTGATAAATTGTTCCTCTCAGTGAGATGTGAAGCTGCAGTTCCAAATATTCTCCACTGTCTCTCGTCCCCTTTCTCCCTCCAGCCAAACTGGAAAGATTTTGATGCGCTTTTCAGAGAGGTGAAATCTAAGGGGAAGAAAATGAATTTCTTTGCTCCTTGACAGCCCTCTTTCTTCATACACTTCACAAGCAAAGTATATGGTGGGATTTGCAGTAGCAAAGGAAGTTGGGAGGACAAGTTGTATACAAAGTAAATGGTATTTATAGTTTTAACTAGGTTTTTTGACCTTGTTTTGGTAGTCATTTTAAAGGCACTGTAATGTGATTTGGCATCGTTTGTGGTGTCTCACATGCCTCTGGTATTCACTTGGGAAAAATCTTCAGATATTGGCCTCTATCTTCACTCCTGCTGGTTAGGGACCTATGTCCTACAGCAATAGGCAGCTGGCTGAAACATTGAGATGAAAGGAGAAGTAGAATGAACTACATAGTGAGACACAAAGCCTTTAAATCCCACAGTAAAATAAAAAATCGTTGTGTTTACTGAGAGCTGAGCATGTTCCCAACTGAGCAAAACTTAGCAGCCAAGATTTCAAAATAGAAAGAAGAAATAGGTTGGTTACTGCGTTGTTGATTTGGTTCTGTTATAAAGTGAAAATAAACTAAGAAGTTGAAGCAATGGTAAAAACAAACCAAAACAAACCCTCAAAATACAAAACACCCCCCTCAAAACTATCAACTTTTTTTTCCCAATGTCAATTTCAAGATAGCAAGAGTGCTTTTGAGACCCAATCCTCAATCTGGAAAAAACAGCAAAATTCAAAGTGTTCACTCCAGCAAAGGATCAGCCTCATTTTTTTGCTGTACTTTCATTTGGGATCTCCAGCATCAGTGAAACCAATTCCCTGCTATTTGATGGCAAATGTCAGAATTAGCCATCAAATGCAGCTGTGTTTTCCCCATATTTCTGAATCCACTTTCCTGTCTCATGCTCTGGGCATTGGAAGGTGCGATCATTGAGAAAGGAGAGTGTGGTCACATTTTCTGGTAGTAGAAGAGTAATGATCTGCTCTGGGAACTGCTATTTTGTGTTTTCTTGGCAGTCTGGGTAGCCATACAGAAACAAGAATAATGCTGTACGAAGTCAGATTTTTTTAAAGCTTACAGGTGACTGAGTTGGGAAAATTGGCCAGCAGGAGGGTCTATAAAACTAAGAATATAGAGCCAACGGTTTATAAATCATTGACTTGTTTCAAAGTGACTCTTTTCATCTCTTGCTCTTTCTCCTCCCTTCCTCTCCCCCAGTTTTGCTGTCAGAATCTACGATACGCATTTAATTTTTAGGTTAGCAATGACTGATGATTTCTGTCATCTTCACAAGCTGCAAGAACAGCGAGATTTTTTTTCTGATCCAGCAGCTATTCTTGTGTAGATACATTTAAAGCACACATAAAACTGTGCATGGATCCTGTGAATCTTTCTGTTATCATTACTGTGACTTGGTTTGAGCTGCAAAATCCTGGTTGTGCTGAAGTTGGGAGTTTTGCCATTGACTTAGGTAGGGCAAAAACATCCATACCCACTCTGGCTGCTGTTCCTACAGGTGATGTGCTAATACAGGTATCTTGCTAACATTTTGGACAATGCTATTTTGTCAAAAGAAGCAAATATTGGCTAGTGCTTTATTCGATAGAATGATGTTTGTTCTTCCAATTAAAACCTTCTGTGCTACTTAGATAGTCTGAATTGAATCCATTAATACAGTATCCCACCAGAAATGAGCTGCACTTCCAGAGGTCTTTTCTTGGTAGTTCTTATTCCAGTTAGACAATTTCCAGGCCAAAACTGTTGAGGTGGGGTAAAGATTGTTTGTATGTAGCAAGAGCACAAACATTTAAAACAAAATAAATTAGGGAAGTGTTGGTGTTATCCAAAAGCCAAACACAGCAGATCCATGGAATCAGTATTGTGCTGTTTAGAAGAAAATCAGAAATAAAAATGGAAGCTTTGCATGCTCAAGAGATTTGACTCTCCCGTGTAGTAGTGTCTGTTTACAGTTGAAAGAATGTAGTATGTTACTAGTGGTTATGTATAATATATATACTATTACCAGCCCTTCTGTGACCAAATCCATGTTGTCTGGATGCCTTAATGAAGCCTGTTGTGCTGAAATTTCTGGTGTCCTTTATCTACTGACTAGCAAATTCTGACACACACCCCCAAAGGAGCACTGACTCTTTTTTGGCTGTGGTGACGTTCTCAATTGTAACCTCATCTACATGACACTAATGTCACATGCTAAAGACAGTAGCTTTTTTTTGTGCCAAGCATTTTATAAATAGAATGAACAATCATTAGTGCAAAGAACCTTGTGTAAGCAAGCAGTTAGGTGTAGGGTACAGTAAGGCCATGTTTCCCACATACTGGAAGATACCTCTAGTGAAGAAATCCAGAGCAAAGAGACAGCATGTAAAATGCTCAGGGGAGGTGTAAGAAAGCTGGATAGAATCTGGCTGCACCAATACAGCCCTGTGTTCCTTTTAATTGGGAGGAATGGTTAGATACAAGTGCATGAAGAGGTGCAGGGATAAGGCACGTACAACAGAGTGATCCATAGGGTCTTGATGAATGCTCCTTGGCTTTGAAAACCAGACTGGCAGTGGTTTCGTTCCCACTTCCAGTAAATTCTTCAGTATCATGTGATTAATGTAAGCCCTCAAGCCTGAGAATATTTGATATTCAATGCTAAATGAATTGAGTAGAGTGGATGTGTAGAAATAACCTCTAGCTTTTTCGCTATCCTCAGTGTAAGTCTGGTTTCCTCACGTGCTCCTCTCCTTCTGTTTGTTTGGTTGTTTTTTTGTCACAGCTATCCGGAAGGTTTTGGGGTGGATGCAAAACCAAAGTTGTCTTCACATCACCAGATTTTCCTTGCACCCAGTGACGAGGAAAAGGGCAGCCTGCCCTCTCCAGATGATGGTAATCAATGGCAAACATTGCCTTTGCCTCAGAGCAGGACGGTGCCTGCCCTAAACAGTTACCAGAGCACTCTGTGTGAATGCTCTTTAATTGCCTCTTCGGTGTACAGACACTGCAGGCACAGCACAGAGAAAGGAATGTTGTGCTAAAAATGACCTTTTTATTCAAAATTCACACCCCACATCCTCAGGAGTAATGGATATCAGTTTGGAGATCACTTCCCACGTTGTGGCCAGGATCAATGCCTGGCTACATAATGCTTGTAGCTCTAGTTCTTTTATCATGGCCTGTACAGAGTTTGTGTCTGTTTTGTACACCAGAAGAAACACTTTGATCTTTTAAGAATAATGCTGGTAAAAATTTTGGGCAGGGTTCAGTGTGGGGGCTGTCAGCTGAACCCTACAGCAGAGTGATCCTCCCTTCTCCTCCTCCCTTCTCCTCCAACCAAATAAATCTGATTTGCAGGGAAATGCAGCAAAACAGCACAGCACTTCCTTGTACAGCATCCTATTGCTGTGTCGAATTGTTTCAGAACTTGATTACCTTCTCCTCACCTTCTCTAATGATGTTTGGCA